GGAAGGGACCTTAAGGGCTATAGAATGCTGGAATGGTTTGGGTTGGAGGGGACCACAGAGATCATAAAATCGGGTTGGAAGGGACCTTAAAGATCAGAGAATCTTCTCCAGTCTGAAAACCCTCACGTCCCTCAGCCTGCCTTCTTAGCAGAGGTCCTCCAGCCCTCTGAGCATCTTCATGGCTCTCCTCCAGACCTACTCCAACAGCTCCACTTCATTCTTAATCCCTTCCACCAGGTCTGATTCTTTCCTTTCACATTCAATAATCTTGTCCATCAGCTTCTTCTTGACTGATAGCAACCTTTCTTCAGCAGTGCTTGCACAGGACAGTTTCAAGTAATTTCATCATAGTTCTCCTGGGACTGACCAGACCATATAGCTCAGAAAAGCTCTGCTGTGATGCAAATCAGAAGGTGTTTCTTTGGCTCTGTGCATCTTCTCATCTTTCTTCACGATACCTGGTAGAATGAGGGCCTGATGCTTGTGTGTGTCATGTACTTCCTCATCTCCAAATGCAAATGAGCTGCACGCTAATCAGCAGTGCATAGCTGGAGTTGAGCTGCAGTGCTGTTGTCTGCTGTCAAAACGACACTAATTGTGTTCTCATCTAATCTGATTGTGAAGGATGAATTGAGTCCAGCCTTTTTTTCTCGACAGCAAGAATTCATATCTGTCTCCTATCTTTTTTTCTTAACAAACTGAAACTTTTCAAGGGAACAGTATGTGGGGGACAATGAGTTCTTTCATCTCCTGGGGCATAAGGATGGTATTGCTCCACCCAGCAAGATGTGGGATGCACTTTGCATTGCCTGTTGGTCGTTCCCTTCACTTCTGCTGGAAGAAGACCACTTTGAAACCCAAAAAAAGTTGATCCTGAGTCAGTTGATAGCAAACTACTCCTGCAAAATGTCTTCTGGGAAACAAGGCTGGCTTGTCTTTTCTACCTGATGCTCATTACTTCAGTTTCTTGGCGTGAAGTTTAGTGCAGAACAGCCAGACAGAATTCATCAGGAGCTCCAAAGGATGCAAACCAGTCTGGAGAAGTGGCAGCTTCTGCTCCCAAAATCCTCAGTCCCACCTTCAGCGTATTACGTATCAGCAGTGTGCATATCCAAACTATAACAGCAACCCAGCATAGGTTCCTCTTCAATTATTCATTAGGTTTTCAGCTTACAGAGCACTTTCAGTTGCAGTAACAGTCGCCGTCTTGCTGCAAGTGGGGCCTCTGTGGTGCACTTCCCCTTTTCTCTGCAGTATGATTTAGGTGAGTTTTGCCTTCCAGAGCAGAGGGATTCTCAGACAAACCCTATACAACCAAATGAAAATCTGGATTTGCCTGAAGTGCATGAGGACAAACTGCAAATTGCCCCAGTGTTTCCCTGACAGCGTTGTGGATATCTCCACCATGATTCATATGCTGTGTCATAGAATCATAGGATGGCTTGGGTTGAAAGGGACCCCAAGGATCATGAAGCTCCAGCTCCCCCACCACATGTGGAGCCACCAATCTCCACGTTTAATGCCAGACCAGGCTGCCCAGGGCCCCATACAACCTGGCTTTGCAGTGTGCTTGCACCAGAAATGGATGTGCTGTGTGCCAAGAAGCTCTGAAAGCTGTGGCAGTGAGGATCACTAACTTGCGGGGGAAAACCAATGGATTTTAATGATCTCATTGTGGTTAGCCTGGGGTTTTCAGATTGTTTGAGTTTAAAGAGACCTTTAAAGGCCATCTAGTCCAACTCCCCGGCAACGAACAGAGACATCTACAGCACAATCAGGATGCTCAGATTGCTCACAAGTATTTTCAGTGTAATACTTGTAGCTGGAAAACTGATTTGCCCAGGCTTCAAACCGAGGTGAATTTCAAGGCAACTTAAGAGTGGGATGCTTTTTATTTTGATTTAGGCTCAACGTTTGCCAGGAAAAAAAACCACTCAGCCCTGCAAACAGACTGGCCATCTGTTGGCCACAATGTGCATCTGGGATTTTTTTGGGAGAACTGGGGGTAAGGCCGTATCCTGACAAAGCTTTTCATTCCTGCAGGATTGCTTCAGATCAATGGCAGTGGGTGGCCTTGCACGAAGCCACGTGGGAGGATGAGGGAATGGGAACTTGACCCTGTGAGAGGCAAACCCACAGCAGTGGGTCTATTTCTGGCGTGCTCGGTCAGTTTCTAACCCTCCAGATTTGTGTGGTTGGGTTGTTTTGTTGTATTTTTGCCTATTCTGCTTTGGGACAAAATGCTTTAAATCTCTTCTGATTCTGACCGAAGCAATGATTTTCTACTAGCTCAACCCCTGAACAATAGAGCCTTGATCTTGATAGGGGGCTCTGGATGTTACTGTAATGCTAATAGGTGGCACAGTTGGCCTTTGCGTTTCTGGCACGTTTCAGGCATTATATAGGGAGCCTGTAATCAGCTGCAGAAAAAAATTCCCTTTTGTCTCTCTCCTAGCAACCTCTTCTGAACTGATATTTGAAAATAGGCTTTGCTTTCCGTGTCATGACATAAAATATTTGTAGCACATACTGAAAACTCCCTTAACAGACGTGGGGCTGAGATAATTTGTCTTTAGGTCCTCAGGACTCCCTCCTGGTTGCTGTGCTCTTAAGGTAATGCTGTTGAAACCCTTATCCAACAGAAACAGGCACTTGTGTCCAGGTTGTGCTCTTCTCTCCCAGCTTCTGCACTGTATTTGTCACAAAGTCAAAGCAGTATACGTAGGTGATAAGGTGGCCATTAGTTGCCTGGATTTGTGGGAGCAAGCTGAGAATTTTGAAAGAGATTTCTGTATTTTTATTCAATGTTTGAGCACATGGGATGAGTTGCAGGGTGGCTACACAGCTCTAATCTTGCTCCAGTGTATGTACATTGTGTGTCCTGTCCTGGAAACAAGGCAGGCTGTTCACACCAGCAGGATTTGCCACTGGAATCAAGAATAGTGAAGCTTTTTTTTTCCATTAACTGATTGTTCTTTTTCTGCTAATCTACATAGTGAGTGCAGCAACAAGCAATGTTGGGCACAGAGGAGTTTGTTTGAACAGAGTAGAATTAGATAAGGTGAGGGTTATGTGGTTTTTGCCACAAACGCTGATGGTCTTTGAAATCCTAGGATGACTTTGCACAGGTTTGCATCCCAGCTACTTCTTGCATCTGTCCTGCTGAGAGAATAACCATCCTGGGAAAAATGCATTAGAGCTGTTGTAAGGTTGGGACAGGCCTCTGAGACCATCTAATCCAAGCATCGAGACCCATCCCCACCATACCCACTAAACCAGGTACCCAAGTGCCATATCTCCATGTTTTCTTCTTACTAATTGGGATTTCAGGGCCTTGTCACAACAGGGAGAACAATCAAATATGGCACTGCATCACTTGCTTGTAGGTTTTCTAACTTGGACTTGAGTCTCAGTGCAGAAAACTCTTTTATTTGTGATCAGCATTAACTTGTGCAGCTGAACAGCATGCGTGCTGCAGCTGCTCAAGAGTTTGTTCTGAAGATCAGGCTTGGAGAGCTGTCTTTTATTAAGTGGCACTTGATTTAGTCCTAACTAAAACCATTTGTGTTTAACTTGATCTGCAAAGCTGCTGTAAGTGTTAACATACTTCAGTAGTAAACGTTTCACTCTTGGGCATCATCACACACAAAGGGTTTGTGGGAGAGCCCCTTTCTGAAGGTGGAATAGTTATCCATTAGACAAGTGCTTGTGTTTTCAAAGGAGTTCAGACTGTGTTTAAAACGCAGTGCTTTCCACAGGGTGATGTGGAAGGATATCCTTTAGGGATGTGCAGAGAAATCACTTGCAACTTGGGGCAGAAAGGGATTGATCTGCCCTCTGTGAGCTGCTCTAGGTGTCAGCCAGGTGCTGTGAGATCCTTGCTGCTGAGCTGCAGGGCAGAGCAGCTAGCAGAAATCTCCCGATCCCAAATTGCTGCAAACTTTTCTCCCCTCCCCATGAGAATGAGGAAGAAGGTGGTTGCAGCCAAAGTCTTTTGGAGTCAGAAGTGTGGGGAAAAACTCTTCTCCAGACTGAGAGTCATCGTGAGTCAGGAACTGCTGTAAATCCTGATGGGTGGTGCAGATGAAGCTTGGATTTCTTGTATATACGACTATGTGTGCGTGCTCCTGGGACACTTGGGGATCCATGAGCTTCTTCCCATACATCATAATGTGGGATCGTGGCTGGTGATGGGAATTATTGGCTCCTTCTGTTGGGTCCCAAGCAGTTCCTGGTGTGTCAGGGGCGTGTAAGGTTCATGGCCATCCCCTTATCTCAAAGCTGGGTTGCCTCAGGGGTGCTGAGGCAATCTGAAGTTTGGTAAACCTTTGATTTCTTCTTGCCCCGTCGTTTCCAGTGCTTCCTTCATAATTTATATTAAGGTTCTTGATGAAAGGTGATCACTGTAGGATATTATTCACAATCCATTAACCCTGAGTGGTAGCAGAATTCTTCAGCAAGCTTGGGTGCCAAAACATCACTGCTAATTGTCTTAACCGAGCCTTATGTGGAATGGAAATCTCTCACCTTTTAGTTTGTATTCCTTTCTACCCAAAGCACTGCACTTCGGTTCTTTCCTTTAGGTGCTGGAAAATACTGTTGTTCTTTTAGCACTCTGCTGGTGCCTTAGAATCTCACCCTTCTGCCATCTCTCCAAAGGCGCCGAGTTTTTTGGTCTTGCAAGTCAAATTAACATGAGATTGCTGTCATTTGCATCGTAGCTGTGGGAGGCCAATCTGACAGCACCGAAGGCAGCCAAGTAGAATGGAATTCATCAGCATTTGTCAGAGTAGGAATCGATGAGAACTCCGCTTCTCCAATCCAGGCAGGGGGGTAAACATCCAGTGTGAGCAGTCAGGATGCTCAAATTGCATGCTGTCAGGTACTTGGGATGTTTGGGCTTAAACTGTTTGGTTTCACAGGCTTTCAGCAGGTTGCTCCTCTCTGAGTTGATGGTTTTGTTTCTCTGCTTCAGTGTTTTCCTTTACTTGATATATCAGGATTGAGAGCAAACACGAGGTCACGATCTTAGGAGGACTCAATGAATTTGTCGTGAAGTTTTATGGACCACAAGGAAGTAAGTGCATGACACATCTCTTCTGTGAAAAGAAGCTAACTGTTCACAGTGGGGGGGGTATAGAATCATTAAGTTTGGAAAAGACCTCTGTGATCACCAAGTCCCAACCATCAACCCATCCCCACCGCTGAACCACATCCCTAAATAGAATCCTAGAGATCTTCTCCAACCTTAATGATTCTAAGGTCACCGAGTCCAATCATCAGCCCATCCCCACCATGCTCACTAAACCACATCCCTAAATAGAATCATTCAGGTTGGAGAAGACCACTGTGGTCGTTGGAGAAGACCACTGTGGTCACCGAGTCCCAACCAACTGCTCATCACAGCCATCCCTGTATTTCTCAGTGCCGTGATGTCTGGAGCAAAGGAATGGTTGAACAAATCCAGATGGGAATGAGATGTGAAGGGTGGTGGCTCTCGAAGGTGGTGCTCTCAAGGGTGGGGGAAATGCAGTGTAGATCAACTGCTTGGTGCTGAACAGCTTTGGACATCAACCACCAAGCCCCCTGCTGTGACTTTCAGCACTCATTAATCATTGACTCTTCCAGAATGATTTAAGTTTTGCATCGCCATCATCTGAATGTTTGTGGAGTTGGTAATGATGGTTGCTTTTCCATTGACTAAGATTACAAGTCAGGTCTCCAGCATGCCTTAATTTAGCAACATCTCTAAAGTTAAGTAGCTTATTCAAACTCTGTGCTTAGAATAAGGCTCTTGGGCCTTTGTGCAGAGATCTTTTGCAGTATAAGTTAAAATCAAGTATTTCCTCTGAGACAGTACAGGCAGAAGGCTTTTACCATAGGAGGTTCAGTGTGAAATCTTACCCTCTGGTGGGGACTTGAGTGTTCCTCCAAAGATGTGTTTTGTTTATTGCTGTTGTTCTATTTATTCTCTCCTGAGTTATGAAGCATGTCTAATACCTGTGTTTCTTCCCTTGCAGCACCATATGAAGGTGGAGTATGGAAAGTTAGAGTCGACCTTCCTGATAAATACCCCTTCAAATCCCCATCTATAGGTAACCAATAATCACTTTCTGTCACAACCTTGAAGTGCATGGGAACGAAGGCAGGGGCTGAAGCTGTTGTCCTCTTGGACGGGGTGATGCCTGTGTGGAAGAATATAGAAGCAGGGACTTATCAGCAGAGGAATTGCAGCTGGCCAGACTGGTTGGACCTGTTTCACTTTGGAGAGCAAATGGGAAGTTTGATAAGGAAATGTTCTTTAGACTGTATCCATCTATCTCTGCCCTTGAGTAACAGTGATCTAACTCAGATGTCTTTTAGTAGCAAACTTCTTCAATCATTTAGGCTGTAAATAGCCACTATTGCTTGAAAAACTGGAGCAGATGCACAAATGGTCAAATTTTAATATTCTAGCTTGCAGAATAAGTGCTGGTAACTCAGTGCTGTGGCATTTCTTTCCTGGAAGGGTGTGCTTGTGGCTGAAGGCATCAGAGGGGACTGAAGAATTGAGAGAAGTGATGTGGGAACATGACTGTACGGGGTGGACCAGATGGGTCCCATCCAATATCAACATCCTGACTTGGAGCTGATGAGTATTGGCTGTTTTCTTAAAATAGACATCAGCTTAAGGCTGCCATCTATTTAAAATCCTATGTGAGTGTGAGAAGTAATGTCTGCTTCCCACAGTAAACTGTGCCTTTTGGGAAAGAGCAGTGTTGTTTTTCACCCAACCCTTTACCTTTCTTTTTCTGTTGCAAGCTGGACTGAAGCACAGCAGCATGCACACAGCTGAGCAATGAATGGTGCTGCTGCAGCTACACTGACCATTTTCTGCTCCTCCCCAAGTCAGCTCTGAAATCTCCTATAAACCTCTTAAATTGGAGACAATTTGAGGTGCACACTGTGTTACTCAGTGCTGCTCACTGTCCCCTCTCCATTTCTCCTTCTCACAAACAGGTGCCCACACTGACAGTCCTAAATGTGAGCAGGCTGCAGACAGAACCCTAAACTCCAGTTTCTTTGTTGTTAAATGCTTTGCTACAAGTCTACTGAGGATCATTTTTCTTTCTTCCTGTGTGTATTTTGAATCAAGCTTGTTGACATAACACAAAAACAAACTCTCTTCCCAGTACCCTGGGAAGCCAACACAGCTAAACGAGGCTCTCGTGCGTTTGTATTGCTTTTGATTTAGACTTCAGTTATTGTTCTGAAGGAGGAGGTAGGGTTGAACTTTCGGTGATTTAGCTTTAGGGTTTTGGAGTACAGAGGAGTTAAAGGCAATCTGGGCTGAGAGCTGGCCCAACTTCATTGTATCCCTGCTTTTGAGTTGCTTTGTCCCTTCTAATGTCTTTTTTTAGCACAACATCTTTCCATCCGTTTCCTACACCATTCTGGGCTCAGCAGACCCCTCCAGCATTGCCTTCCAAGTCCCTGTTTATACAGCTGAAAGCACTGCTCCTCTTGCTGAGCTGCCCAAAAGGCTGAATGCTGCTGCAGGGCTGCATTGCTGGCTCCCTCCTGGGTAGAGCAGTGTGTAGCTTAGGTTTCAGGTTGAATAAACAGTCGATGCTAGATCAAGGGCTGGCATAGAGCTCAGCTACAGGGCAGAGAAACTGGGGGAATGGGGGCACTGGGACCCAGGGAAGCTCCCCACCAGCTGCAGGAAAAGGTTTGTTTTTCATTGTCTGACTCCTGTTTCAGCTGCTCCAGCCCAGCTTATCGGGGCAGCCAGAGCCAAGCAATGTCTCAGCCCCTTCCTTTGGGCCACTCCGGTCTCTGCAACACTGTGCCTGTAGGCAGACATGCAGTTGGGCTGTGCTGATAACTCCAGTAACTCCAAACAAGCCTCCAGCCTGCTGAATCATTGGAAACAAGCTCAGGAGTGAGACAAGGTCCTCTTCTTTCCCCATCAGCTGAGAGCAGTTCCAGGGAGAATGAGAATCCCAACCCAGATGTCCTCGAGAGCTTTGAGCTCTGGATAACACAGGGTGGGAGTTAGTGGGGAGAAATCTGAAGGATTTCAGAGGTGGTGGAGCCCCAGAGTGGACAGAAAGGTCACCTAAAGCACACGCATAGCTTGTCTGCAGCTTTTCTGTTCTCAGCACTGCAGAGATCCCACTGCAGTGATGACACAGAGTTCAAACAGTCTGTGTAAGTCACTGGGATGTATAAAGAAAGAAATCAGCTTCTGTTCCTTTAATATGTTACTCTTTTATGCTGAAGCTTAAAGTAGGAATACTGTTCTTGCAGCAGCTTTCCTTGTTCTGTAGAGCTGTAGGCTAACATTTTCTTTCAGCCTCAGAAATTCTAAATGCAATCTTCAACATAGCATTGGCTTTTTGCAGCAAATAACACAATGGCTGGAAGCATATCCACGCATTCTGGAAAGCCACTTGTGGAAAAATGATTGCTAATCGTTGCCCTCCAATCTCTTCCAATTGCTTTTATCCCAGCATGGCTCTGGGTATGATGTAGGTGAAACCTTAGCCCAGCTCAACTTTGTGTTTTCCTCCAACGTGTGCTTAGCACAGCTGAACAAGAAGAGGCTCTGGATTTAGGGCTTGTGATGGCACAGAGCTTTTCTTAAAACCTAAAAGAGCAGTGGTCCTCTTTGCCTTTGAGGATGCTGCGGTCTCTTGAAGGAGCCTTTGCCCACCTGTTAAATCTCTGCTCCCTCATCCCATCCACAGCTCCCACCTCTCATAGCGTTTATTTCCTGTCCTTCTCAGGTTGGTAATTATCACTGTTGCCAATTAAATGATGCCACCTCAGGGACAGTGCTCTCCTGACAATGCATTTAGAGAGCTAAACCACCTTGGGACCTGTGTGAAAAGAGCAGTTCCTGTGAGGGTTGCCAGGGTGCAGCAGCTTTCTGGTGTTTCTGGTAGCACCTGTTTCTTGCTCAGGCTTTGCTGTGCCATTCCGTATTACCTGGGTGCTGGAGTCTTTTCCTAGCAAGACAAGAGGAGAATAAGAGTGCACACCTACATAGAGCAGTGCTCTCATACTGACTCTGGGCTTGAGTGCTCCTGTTGAGATCAGCTCTGCTTACAGTCACCAAATCCCCACCTTCAAAATTCCAGCAGACCTCCTGAACTTGAGCAATGTGTTTATTAAAGCAAAGCCAACCCCCTGGAAATTACCCAGTTGGTTTTTGGAACTGCTGAACATTGCTTGTAATGCTTTTGTCAATTGATGTAAATATCCCTGCGTGCTTCTAAGGGCACAGAGTGCTCCCTTGCTCAATGTTTGCTTCCATTTTTGCATTCTGCTAGACAGTATATTTTGAGTTGTTTCTCATTTCAGCTGGCACTGCTTCACTGCTTTCTTCTTCCCTTTGGGATTTGTTATCTTCAGGGGAACTCTGTGCCCACTCTCTTTCAGCTTTTCCGAAGGGGAATTGTGACATGGAAGCTCAGAGCAGTGCTTCCAGTACTTCACAAGAGCACTTTGTGTCCATTTTGCATGTTTTTAATCTGTCTGTATCCCTGCCAAGAGCTCTTTGATACCACAGGCACGTAAGGAAGAAGTGCAGGGTGTATGTCCTGCCCTGTTAGATGCTCAGAGCATGTGGGAACCTGAGTTCTTTCCTAAGTGTGTACTTTGTTGCTAAAGCCTACAGAAAAATTAGATCTGATTTCTTGGTAATCAAATATCAGAGTTTGTGCACAGCATGCTCAGAGAGCTCAATTTCTCCAAGAACTTCTTTGTATTTATGCACAGCTCTCATTTTCCTTCCATCTCTGCTCTGTGCAGGTGTCTTTCCTCTGTGTTTTCCTTTTCTCCCAAACACTTCCCATAACAAAATGCACTCACACACGCTTCCACTCCTTTTTATATGCCTGCATCTCCACCAAGAGATGGTGGCACCCAAACAGCAACGAGGCAGCGCTCAGCTCCAGCCAGGATCTGTCTCATCTCTCCTGGCCTGTGCTTAATTCTTCTTTTTAACTGCAGCTGCTGGCTTTTTTTTTTTTTCCTTCCAGCTCCTCTCTGGATTGCCTTGCATTTTGCTGCTTGGAATCTCATGAGTCACTTCTTACCCGTGACTGCTCCGAGCAATGCATGTTGATCCCAATTCTGACCTGCAAGCGATGGGAAGATGTTTGTTCTCCCAGATGTACTTATCTTTGTGTGCAGGGAAAGATGAGACACCTGAAGGGAATCTGTATCCCCGTCTCCACTCCTCCCTGACGCACGCTGTGCACCCTCTGCAGGTTTCCTGCTGCAGTCAGAGAATGGGAACAGGCTGACAAAATGGGGGTAGGTGTTTTCAAGCCAGACTTGGCACAGATTCACCACCTTCTGTGCCAGTCTGGGCATCAGGTGACTGTGCACCTAAGCAATGAGATGAATTGATTTGGGGCAATTGTTTCGTGCTTGTTTAGCTTAGCAACTGGTGCTTCTGCTTTTCTCCTTCCAAAAAGTGATTTGCACTGAGCAGAGGGCCCGGAGTTTACAGCTCTGATACCATTTCCAACACCTCTAGCCATATTTTTCTGTCCTGATATTCCCAACGTGAAGCTGCTGCCAAATTATTTATAGCATTGTTTTGAGAAGCTCCTAAAAGTTGAGTGCTGTAATATAAACTGTCCTTCTGTTAGCGAGCTGATGTTCTGCAGCCCCTCCTGCCACCACTTGATGAATGCCTCCACAGTTGGTGCAGATTATATTTGACTCAGTGCTCTGCATGAGCTCCTTAGCCTCCACATTTCATTTTAAAAAAAAATACATATATTCTTTCATTTGCTGGTGAGAAATCATCGACCTGAGAGTGCTGGACCGTGGTGGGCAGGTCTGGGATTCCTAAACCATCAGTCCTAATCTTCAGGTGGAATGCAGGGAGCAGTGGGGCACTACTACTTTCCTGAGCCCTCCTCCATCTCCTACCACAGTTCCTCAACCAAAAGCAGAGGAAAAGCCCAGCTCCTGAGCTCTCTGTTCCTTACGCAAGCTCTTCTGGTGATGAGTTGGAGCAGACCTCTGTGGTTGCCAAGTCTAACCATCAACCCATCACCTCTATGTCCTCGAGTGCCACAACTCCTCATTTCTTGAACCCCTCTAGGGATGGTGACTCTTCTCTGGACAGTCTGTTCTAATGCCTGACCATCCTCAGAGAAGAAATGTTGCATAGAGATAAACATGCAGTCAGTTCAAGCAGGGAAATGCCCAACTTGCCCTACTGCATGAGCAAGGAGAGCCAACGCGTGGGGTGAGCAATGGTCATCCAAGGTCAGTGCAGGAGTTCAGTGGAAGAACTTCAGTTTCTAGTGGAATAGATCCAGCTGTAGGGCTGTATGGAAGTTATGCTTTGGCAGCACCAAGGGAAGGTGGACAGCCTGCCAGCTAGCTGACTTTGTGTGCACAAATACCCTTCTCTTCAATGACTTTGTCAGCCCAAGGGCCGATTACTCCAGGGCTGTTGCTGAAATACTGCTGTTCCTGAAGGTCAGCATCTGCATATTAGTCCCAGCATCTCCCAGTGGTGGAACAGATACGTCTCTTTCTATTGTATGACCCCTTTGTAAATGTTTTTTTTTAGTCTTTTTTTTTTTTTCTTTTCTCCTGTTATCACCCAAAGGCTTTTTGTCAATACAGATTTCATCCAGTCTTGCTTTACCTTCAGACGCAAACCTGGCTCCATGTGTCCATATAGAAAACATGGGCTGCAGTCACTCTGCTGCTGGAATTCCACCCAAACGTTGGATTTTAGGGCTGGATGGGACACTGAAGAGCTGTGAGATGTTGCAGCAGCCAAGGAAATGAGGAGAGCAGGGAGAGGATGTTTGTGCTCTTTCTTGATAAGCAGCTGTTTAACGTGAGCAGCTTGAGACCAAGGACAGCGTGAAGGAAGGGGTTGTTCTTTGCCTGGATAAATGCAAAGGTGGCAGAAGAGATTTATGAATCTCTAGTGCAGGAGCTGCTTCATCTCATCTCTGGATATCGAGTCTGGCTTAAATACTGGAGCATGGGTGCAGTCAACCAAACCCATGCAGGTTTTTGTGCAGCTGACTGTGGAGGAAGATGCAAGGAAACAGCTGAGATCAGAAAATCCCCAAAGAGGAAAGGCAGAGGGATGCCTGCCCCTCTCTGTCTGGTCCCCAATCCCAGAAACCAGACCAGACAGCACTTATTTCAGCAGGTCTACGTGTTATCATCCTATCCTTCCTGCTTTGTGCCTTTTGCTGCATTCTCTCTTGCTTTGTCCAAAGCTATTATTTTTCTCTCTAAAACAGACAGAATTTAGCACTGGGATCTGTTGTTGGTTACATCTCTCCTCTGTATGGCACAGTGGATCCACGACCCAGTTTAAACCTGCAGGAGCCACCTGGGTGTAAATATTTGATGGAACTGCAATTTCCCTTTTGAATTCTGCTTCAGTTTTTCCAGCTAAATCATGGAATGGTCCCAAAAGCCACTTGTTAGCTGGGGCTGTGTATGCAGTTCTTCTTGTGGAGATGGTTCTGCTTTCAGGCAGCCTTGTATTTATGTGAAATCCAAGTAGTAGGAGTAAACATGGAATTATATTTGTGTCATAATACAAGGAAGGAAAGGCAGTTAAATCCATATGTCAGCTCTTAGCCAGATGGGAGCCGTGCTGTCACTCACTGCAGTTGCTACATCAGTGATGCATCAGGGCTAGACAGAGCCTGGGAGAAGGTATTGCTGCTCTGGAGAGAGAACTTTGATGTGTTTTGAGGAGCTTTGGGGTTGGATTGAGTCAGTATCCCAAAAAGAGCCTGCAAAGCAGAAGTATGTAGGGACACACTGTCTGTTTTCCAGCGAACCAACTCGAGAACCCAATTCTGTGTCCTGGGCTCCTTGTCCCTTCTGCATGGGGATGTGTTCCTCACTGGGGTTTTTTGGCTGCTTCCTATCAGAAGGGAAGAGCAAAGTTCTGCATCCAACCCAGTCACTGGCTGAAATTCTTAACTTTGCTTTTGGGGTAGATGGGGTTTGTTTTTATAGATGGACTCTGCTTGTATGTAGGCTCTATTGCCAAGTGAAGCATGTTACGATCCCTGTGATCTCCTTGTTTGTTTTCCAAGCTCTGTTTTTAGGAAAAGGAGGTGCGTTTTGGGGTCCTGTCTTTAGTTCAAGGTTGAACTACAGGACTGAAAGGCGTGGGTTCACATCTGATAGCAGCAAACAGGGGTGTCTTAAAGTATCAGTCATCTCCTGCCATGGTTTCATACTTCTGGAAGCCACAGGAATTATTTTTGACAACTTAATTTGTGAGTCAGAACGAAGAAAGCACTATCAAATAATAATCTTAAAGAAAATGTTGAGCTTAAGATCTGTGCTGTGGTTCTGCTGTAATTTGGGGTTTGGGTCAAGCTCAGGGGAATGGCTGAGGACCCTGGGGTCAGGATGCTGCCTGCTTATTGTGGAGAGTTACACAGTTATATATAGCAAAGTAGGGGTTCTCTGTGAAACTGCTGGGCTGAGTCCTTGTTCAGTACATTCCAGACTTCTCATGGCTCTTAAAAGAAAAGAAGCTTTGGCTGTTTTCTGCTATTTACCACTGTGTCTCTTGCAGGATTCATGAATAAAATTTTCCATCCTAACATCGATGAAGCGTAAGTAAATCCCTCATGCATGTGGTTTTGCTCAGAATTTTGTCTAATTGTAGCTGTGTCCGTAGCTTGGCAGTAGTTTGAGAGTGAGTTCAGCCATGCTTTCATCTAATCTAACAGCCCTCAGTGCATCTCAAGTTAACTTCCTTACCATTAGCCACAGGGTAAGAGTAAATCACTCCTTATCTGAAAGAGTGGGGTGAAGGCAGGGCAAGGGAAGGGAAATAGATTATGTTAAATCTGCAGTGTGTTTCTGAGCATGCTTGTGTTTAATTCCATCTTTTCCATGTGTTTCAGGTCAGGAACTGTATGTCTAGATGTAATCAATCAAACTTGGACGGCTCTCTATGGTGAGTTTTGGCATTTCCCTGGAGCTGATCACATGAGTGCCCTTCTGTGTTGTCTTAACATAACACAGCTTGCTGGATACAGATGCTTTTAGGCCAGCTCTTTTTAGTTAAATCTTAGGCTCCTCACTGAGCCAAGATCCCATGAAAAGTAAGATATCCCCGTGAAAACACTCCTGGAACCTGTTTTTGTGCCAGAGAGGCAAAAATATTTCATACAGTTTCATAAACTGCACAAAGGATCACTCAGTCTATTGCTTGGTGGTGTCTGGCAGCTGCACAATATTATCCAGGGATGACTCAGCATGGAAAGAGGGGAGTGGCTGTATCTAAAGTGAAGCCCAGTTCCAGCCATGTTTTGTATGTCACCTGGGCTTTGGGCACAAGTCTGTGATCCCCCCTCTGCTGACAGTGATCCCATGTGGGTGTTTGGCTGTGATCCTCGTTTTTAGAGCTGTAGGAAGTTTAGCTGCTAGTTGAAGATCCACTTAAACAGGATCTAGGGCAAGCTAAAATTGTTGAAAAGAATATGTCACAGAATTGTTGTGGTTGAAAAAGACTTCTAAGATTCTGGTCCAGACATTAACCCATCACCACCATGGCCAATCGTAGGATCATTAAGGTTGGAAAAGACCACTAAAATCCCCGAGTCCAACCCAATCATCCTCACCATCCCCACTGACAGTGACTCCCATCTCCCTGGGCAGCCTCTTCCAGTGCCTGATTTCTCTTTAGGACTGTGTGGACTTCTTCAGATGTTCCAGTTACTCTGTTTTGTGGAACTGTACTCAGGGAAATGTGTACTTCAAATCTTTTCTCCTCTGAAAGCCTGACTTTACCTATGTAAGTTTGGAGCTTGCAAGCAATTGCTGGAGAGAGAAAAGCCTTTTCACCTACCTCACAAGCATAGTTTGTAAGGAAATACTGAGCCTGGTCAATCCTGGATGCAAAATTGCTATAGTAACTTGTTGAACTTTCCTCCTAAACAGAACACCTGAAGTCCTTGTGTTGTAGTTGCATGGCATACAGTTTGCATACTTCTGTTATAAGAGATCAGCTCCGTGACCCAGTGGGAGTGTTAATGAAGGAGGAGAAGCTGCTTGATGGGTGATGGAGGAAGGAAAGATGTGAACAAATCAAGCCCTCTGCTGGGAAACAAACCTATATGGTTCATTTAGCAGCAGAACCCACCTTAGTGCAGTGTGTGCTGCTGTTCTCCCGCCTTAAGGCCACCTGCAGATCATGGGGATGGCTGGACAGAAGGAAATCACACTGGTTGAACTCAGGTTTTGTGTTCTGACAGCCTGAGTTCTGCTTTGGACAGCATATCTGGATAGCAGCCCTCTTCTGCAGCACGCTCATGCCGTCACAGTGGGGTTTCTGTGCTATTTCCAAACAATTTCACAGGAAAGTTTTCTGTAAGAGGCTTCCTAATAAGTGCTGCTGCATTTTTATCGTTGCTGTGGCTCATGAAGGCAGAAGAAATAACTTGGCGTTTCCTTTGCTTCTGATTATTAATATAAAAAAAAAAAAATCTTCTGCATTTCTCTTTGTGATACCAGAGTAAGGCAACTTGAAAGTGTCAGGTTTGTATTTTGTACAAAACATCTTCCACAGCAGGTGGTGAAGCTTGGCTTTGGAAAGTTCATCTTCTGACGGTTCTCTTCTTGCAGACTTCTCTTGCTTTGATGCCTTGAAGCTGCAGAGAGGATGCTGGGATGACTGCATTCACTCTGCTCCTTCAGTCAGGACACCCCCAGAGCCCATCCATCTCTTCAGTCCCAGGGTTTGCCTCCTTGCCTCCTTACATTCCTGAATGTACCATCCAAGGGGGGGAATTGTACTCCCCAGTGCCTCTCAGCATAGTTGTGCTGTTTGCAGTGAAACCAGAACCCTCCTACGCTAGCAGAGGAAATGGGCCAGATAATTCAAGGAGGAACTAAGGTGGAAGAGACCCAGAATAGCTACCAACAAAGTCATGGGGCCTCGTGGTCAGATTCCCTGTTGTTCCCTAATGAAGTATCAGGTTCTTAGTGCTATTGTTAGGCTTCCTGCATGCATTCAACCAGTCCTTGTTAAACCAGTGCTGCTTTTGGCTGTTAAGGAGGGACATCCCTGAGGTTTACTTTAAAAATAATGACAATTCAATAAATCCCTCCAGTGGAAGAATCCTTGCAGGGCTCTGCTTGCTGAGCACACACAGGTTTAGTTGTCAGATGGCCATAGAATGTCATAGAATCACCAAGGTTGGAAAAGACCTCAAGATCATCCAGTCCAACCGTCCACCTCTTGCTATGAGCACCATCATCTGGAGCACTGGCAGTGTTTTGGGTTCAAGGTATGGTGCTGTGGTCGTGGAACATGAAACAGTGATTTTAGAAGAAGGCAGAAGTAGGAGAAGAACTCAGTGAGGTGGGGAAGCATGGTGCTGTTTGCTTTCCCCCATGCAGTCCCTTTTAACTTCAGATTTTCAGTGCGTTTACCCTCAAAACTTTGTGGTGCTGTCTCACTGCTGGTGCTTGCAGAGATTCAGGCCAGCTCTGGGTGAGTGGATGTGAGCAGCTTTGTCTTTCCCTTGCAGATCTCACCAATATATTTGAATCGTTCCTGCCCCAGCTGCTGGCCTATCCTAACCCTATAGATCCTCTAAATGGTGACGCTGCAGCCATGTACCTCCACCGACCAGAAGAGTACAAACAGAAAATTAAAGGTAAGGGCATCAGTATGATTGTGACTCAGCCCAGGGGAAGGAGGACTGTCTTTGCTGCAGATTTTTGTCAGTCCCCATTCATTCCCCTTACAGCAGCCTCATTTGTTTTAGAGATGGGAGAACAATTGGGAAGAAAAGATATGTGACTGAGGAAGGAGCAAGGAAAAGTGCTCAGGTTAAGTGGAAATCTCCATTTCATGATTACTGGGCAGAAAATAGCTTGTTAGCAGTTCTTTGGGAAGTTATCTGAGGGCAGGAATCAGTAATACCATTGCAGAAAGCAGTTCTGTACCGTGACAGAGCAGGAATTTTCAGTAAATGCCGAGCAAATTCCTTGTCACCTCCTACTCCAGCTGAGGCTTAGTGCTCTGTGCTGTTCAGAGAGTGCCATTAAAGAGAGCTGCAGACCAATTAGTGATGTCTGGAAGGATGTAGTGGGGTAGAGATGGTCTTGAAGGTCTCTCTGAAGACAAGAGAATTGGAGAGTTTGATTTAGAGTACTGAGTGGGGCTGTAAGCTCTGATGTGTCAGGGATGCCTTCAGAGAATAAAGGAGTGACTTACCCTGTAATCACCGTGAGCAGGAGGTGCTCACAGGCTTGTAGCTCAGCTAGGGGAGCCTAGGCTGGACATTAACTGATGGGGGTGGGTAAGCCCTGGCACAGCCTGTGAGGGTGCTGGTGTGTCTGCTCACAGAGGGGTGGGAAGGACAAATGAGACAAGTCAGAAATAATTAGCCAGCAGCAAGCTGGGATCAGCTGCATGCAGACAGGAGCAGAGGCAACAGACGCATGGCAAAAGCCACGCACGTATATACTTGAGCCAGTGGACACAGTCAGCATTTAATCCACTCTTTGGCCCAGATTGCATCTTCAGGTTTTTTTGAATAGAGGCTGTGACCACCTGTGTGGTTTGTGGTTACTGAATAACCATCAGACTTGTTCATCCAGGGAGCCCTGCTGGGACGGTTCGCAGGTCCTGCTCAGCAAGGAGAGCCTCCATGAGCAGCTCCTCGTGAGCAGCTCCTCGTAACCATCCTCCCACGTGAGATGGGGCAGCAGCATTGTGAAATCCCTGCTGTTCAGGGAGTGCAGGTAACCCAGAAAGAGGTGGGGTTTGGTGCTGGAGTCCTTTCATCACTTGTGCCACGTCACTGCAGAGCAGTTAAACCTCAGCTCGTCGTGTTGTGATGCCGCATGACTCCAAGGGTGGAACTACAAATGAGGTCAAGCCAAGCTTGATTTAAATACTGAGTTATTTGGCACACTGTTTGATTCCTGTGACAGCTGCATGACAGCATGGTAAGAACTATTCTGCAGATCTGCCCTGTTTGCTATCCTGGAGCCCATTGCTGCTGCTTCTTAGGAAACAAGCTTCCAGGCAGAATGGTTTGTCAGATGAAATCTCCAAGGCCAGCGTGAAGGGACACTTTGGGTGTCCTCTGTGCTTTAATGAACCAGGGGGAAAAAATGACAGATGCACCCTGGAAGAGACAAAGAGACTGATGCTAACCAACAGCAGGTGCTTCAGGGAAGAGCTCAGGGCATCCCTGAGGGAGGCTAAATGGGAGAGTCTGCTCCCTTGTTTCCATCTTGGCAGTCAGATGCTGTGAAGATGATCTGGGAGGAGGTTTAAGTGCTTAAAATGTGTCTCATGTTCCCTGTACCCAAGTGTCCTGTCTTGTTCCAGGCTTGCGTGACAAGTATAGGATAGAGCTAAATATTGTCATTCCTGATACTGCAGTGTTTTTAAAAATAGCCTTGGACATGTTAAAACTGAGGCAGTGGATTGTAACAGCTTCTCTGCTCTGGGAAGCTCAGGATCTGCAAATACATAATTTATTGCTTTTTTTCCTTCATTTTTTAGTTATAGGCACATAGAGCAGTTGCTTGATGTAGCAGTGAAGAGACAGGCTTAGAGTTAACGTTGCACAAGGTTTGTGGCTGCTGTGAGACCCATACAAGTAAGAATTTATCATGGAATTTGTAAACATCTGTTAATACTACTGATACAGAGACAGAAAATGTGGTGCTTAGCATTAGGTCCTTCTTCTCCATCAAGGGATGGAATAACACAGAACCAAACTCTCCTTTAAGATCTGTTTTCTTGGTGATCCTAAGCAGGATGGCTTGCCAAATGCTGTGCCTGGGGATACCCATCCCCACTGGATTTGGGGTCACCTGCAATTCCCAGTAAGGGTGTCACCCTTGTCACAGTGAAGGAACTAATACAAATAGCAAAGGAACTTGGGTTCCCTTTACTGGTTTGTGCAAGAAATAGCATCTCATCTGGGTAAATAACTCTTCTCTAGGGAAAATCAGTTTCTAGAAAGCCACAGGGAGTAGCCAGCAGGGGGATATGGCCTGTTGGCAGCATCCCATCTCCTTATTTCTGGTGATTGCCTGTTGCCCACCCACCTTCCCATGTAGGTGTCTGATTTTGTGACACCCCCCCCCGCCCCTTCAGCTGGTTCTTCTGTTCTTTGAGGTCTGCCACATTGTTTGCTTTCACTTTGCAGCATCCATCTCTTTTGGCAGGGATCTCTGCCCCAGCCTGTGCTCTCTGCTCTCTGCAGGTTCGAGACATCAGGCACCATGATAACACATGCAAGCACCTTTTCAGAAGGGGAATTTTAGTGCTCAGGACCTGAGGACAGAGCACAAGACTGCTTTCCTATCCACACTGTGCACTGAGAGCTTTCTGGTGGTCTGTCTCTCTCCGCGTTGCGTGGAGAGCCCTCAGGTGCTCCTTGTTTGCATAGCTGCCTTTAATATTTTATCAGTTCTTACAAGCTTTTTGTAAAGCAGATTGGGATAGCTCCTCCTGCTGTTGGAGCAAGCAGGTTCATCATATATATTTAACACTTAGACTGAAACCATGTGCATCATTGGATGGAGATGCTCGGAAGCACCTTTCAGCCTGCTCTCCTGCACAGGTTTCCCATGGCAGAGCAGCTCTGCCAGGGTCACAGCTGCTCCACCAAGTGTTTGTCTTCAAAATTCTGTTCCTTGGGAAGAATTAATGCCCAGTTTGGAAGGCTGCAGGGTTTGGTGTGTGCCGTGCACTTTTTCCTTGCAGGCACTGATCTCTGAGTGCAAGGGGATGATGTTATTCCCCTTCACTTCTAGCGTTGCTATTTGAAGGAGGGCTTGTTGCGTTTTAGTAGCTTAAAGAAAGCAACTTCACAGCTGAAATTCCCCAAGAACAGCATGAGAACGGCTCCTCTCCTACGTGCAGAGCAATGTGGAGGATGTGCTGTTGGGATACTGCTGTTTCAGCACTTGTCCATGCTCTGAAGCTGCTTTTTCAGCGTGTGTGCACGTAACAAATAGATTTTCTCTGCTGGATATGTCCTCAGCACACAGGTTTTCAGATTCTTCTTGAATCCCAGAGGGGATGTTGCAGAAGCAGTTCCCAGACTCAATCTGCCTGGTCCCAGTCCATTTATTACCTTTCTGCTCCATCTCTCTGTGTGGAAAAGCAGCACGAGCCACAGTTGGCAGTGGTGATTCTACCTGCCTGCAGGAATCCCAGTTAAACCAGTTTCTCTGCTTTCTGCAAGGCTTCCTGCTGGCTCCTGGCTGCAGTTCATGGATCTGGGTGCCTGGAGCTGGTGTGGTTTGAAGCCTGCTGTGAGACACGGTTTCTTTTGTTGACCTGCAGTGCTCTGGGCTCCCTGCAGCTCCTCCTTGGCTAATCCTACAGCTGATGTGAAACTGGCTGCAGGAGATGAGCTTGGAGATCAGAGACAGCTCTGCTGAGGCACAGTCTCCTCCAAACTTGGATTGGGAAGGGGCTCCAGCTGCATTGGTGTGGCCATAGCTCCAATGTGCCCCATATACAAACGGTCCCATGGAGAGCCCCCTATTTTCCTGCCAGGAGAAAAACCTGAATTGAAACTCTCAATAATACTTTTTTAAGCTCAGGCTGTGTAAGATCACAGAATCACAGAATGGCTTGGGTTGGAAGGAAGTGTAGAGGTCACAGAATCCTAGAATGACTTGGGTTGAAAAGAACCAGAAGGATCATAGGATGTTTGAATGGGTTGGGTTGGAAGGGTCCTTAAAGATCATAGGGCCATAGGATAGGTTGGGTTGGAAGGGTCCTTAAAGATCAAAAGGCCATAGGATAAGTTGGGTTGGAAGGGTCCTTAAAGATCAAAAGGCCATAGGGTGGACT